AAAATTATCACACCAATGGAGTATGATGTTTATATAAGAAATATTCAGATTTGGGGTCAAATGTCAATTATCCACCATCACACATTTATCCCCTCAACATAATGACAAGATAACAATCACCAGAATAAGAAATTTCAGATTGTGGAAGCACTAACTATATCTTGTTAATAAAAGAGTACGAAGTATGTGACCCAACATTTTGTGACCAACAACCGAATATGAAATTGAAATCCTAAAGAGAAGGAATACAATGGACCATAACAAAATATAACATTAATAGAATCCATTTAAGGTAGTTCCAGAAAAACAAACATAACTTAATTTGGTTCAAAATAATGTGCATAAAACACAACAAACACAAATTCAATGTTGAAAAGAAAAATGATTCAAACTCTAATGTTTCTGAGTAACAAACAGTCTATGCAGTAGCACTGGACAAAAAGGCTCTTCCAGGTTGGCGGTTAGCCAGTGGTCCATGGCACCCAAGAAGCTGCAAAATCACAAAACAGAACATGCAATTCAGAACGACAATTACACACACTAATGATGACTAATTTAAGACACAAGGAAAATTTCATTCAGAACGCAATTTAATGCATTCCCTAAGATTTAAGTGAGTATTAACATCCTCAGCATAATAAAATCTACATGCTATACAGTTTCGATTATAGTACATTGCATTATCAACCAGCTCCACATTACCTTGGCGTTGACACCATCAGGCATAATCCTGTTCTCTGACTTGAACTTCAAATAATCGGTTCGGTTAAACTTGGTGAACCCCCTAAGCAAGAATTTAAAGCAATACCACCAAGAGTTAAAACCATAAAACAGCACAAATCTATCTATAATATATATATATATATATATATATATATATATATATATATATATATATATATATATATATAAGCTACTTACATCAAGATTATCAAATCCACATTCAAATTGTGAATTGTTGAGTTATTTTTTGAATAGTGAATTATAACTTTATCGAATCATTAGATTCAAAGACAATAAGGAATTACTACAGATGTATCCACATAGATGATACATAATGTTCACGAGTCATACAAAACAAAACTATTAGTCATATGAGTTTATAAAACCCTTATCTTAAATGAAAACAATGTGATTAAATAGATAAATAGAGCAAATGCATCAAATGAGCAAGTGAAAAATAAATTAGTCGATTGAACAAATAACGTAGTGGGATGATCAAACAGGATACTTCACAAGTGTTCTTTAAACCCCTTTTCGTTTCAAAATTTAAGCTCATATGTCTTCTGATTCTTTTTTCTTGAAAATCAATGAAAATGCTAATCATGTGAATTGTTTACAAAACACAGGTTCATTCATGTATTGCACAATACATAATCATTTAAGATTCATAATATTATACGAATTAGTAAGTAAACATATTGCATCAAATTGTCAATTAGAAGATTCTGATAACTATACTTTTCACAATTCAAATTAAACAACTATGGATAAGTTAGCAGCCATGTCTCCAGATACATACCACTTCCTGCTAACAATAATCTTTTGGCGTCCAGGGAACTTGAACTTAGCACGACGGAGGGCCTCTTGAGCATGATGGCTGTTGCTGTCCTTGCAGCGGACAGAGAGCAGGACCTGGCCAATAGCAACTCTAGCACAGGTACCCTGCGGCTTTCCGAAGGCGCCTCGCATACCGGTCTGGAGCCTATCAGCTCCGGCACACGAAAGCATCTTGTTGATCCTAAGAACATGGAAGGGATGCACCCTCACCCTCAAGTGGAATGCATCCTTTCCGGCAAATTTCGCCATGTACTTGTTACATGCAATCCTGGCAGCCTCCAGGGCCTCACTAGAAACATTCTCCTTCTCCCAACTCACCAAATGCACACAGAAAGGAAATTCATCAACACCTTTCTTCTTCATGCCAACATCATAAATCCTGATCTTTGGATCCGGAACACCACGGCAAAACCGCGATTTTGGATAGGGCTTGTTCTTAATTTGACGATAACACCTTGCAGGTCCTGAATCGAACACCATAATAACCATTCAGGGTTAGCACATCCAGTTCCATAATTACAATACACAAATAAACAAATACAAAGATTCGAAACAAAACACGAAACATATTTTTGAGACAGAACGGAAAGATATGTTCCAATCAAATGTGTTCATACATCTTAAGGTCAGTTCTAAAAAAAAAACTTGGATTTGGATTCAATTTGTAGAACCCACAAGCTAATATAAAACATCAGCAACATATACCATTTCCCTAAGAAAAAAAAAAACCAAGACTTTAACCAGTAAAGTGAAATAAAACTCGAAAATTTAAGAAAGGGAAAGGTTGAGAGAGCGTACTCCTTCCCATGGCTAAGTCTTGGTTGATGCAGAAACTAACCCTAGAAATTGAAAGGGAAGAGGGTTTTATTTGTGTTATATTTTTTATTTTTCGTTTTATACAAAAGCAAAAAGGGCTTAGGGTTACATTTTTTAGTTAAAAGTAAAATTGGGCTTTTACTAGTTGCACTTCCCCTATTTACCCCAAGAGACGCATGATACATTGGGTTTGTTTCCGTCATTTTGGAAGAGATGGGCTTCTGTTGTGGGCGGAAATTGGGTTTAATAAATAATTAAGTAAATTATATTGAGAATTCTTGAGTTATTCTCGATGTAATTCAATGATTTTAAAAATAAAAGTAGATCTTATTGCATGATAAATATGCTTTCAATTCTATAATTCAATTATAAGATTATCATTCCTGATAAAAAATTATGAACAACATTAAAAAAAATCACTGTCCAATTACAAGAATTTTAAGTATTACTATTTTAATAATTTTTAAAAAAAGATGAAAATATTTACATCCACCTATATTTGTACTTATATTTGTAGATATATTCTAATTAAATAAATATAATATAATTGATTTTATTATATTAAAAATATTTTTAATTAATCTATTTTAATGCGTATGATAATAGTATAAGTAAAATATTTAATTGGATTATACATGATATTATATTTAAAAAATAATTAATAATATTAAAATATATAATTTACTATCTAAAACTTCTCTATAGATAAGATAATTCTATTTTTACAAAATATTTTATTCTCATTCTAGTATATATTATTTTTTTATATATAATAAATTTTAAAGTGGTAATTATCTAAATCAATAAATTCAAATTTATTAATCGTGAAACTTATTTATTATTGTAAATTTTTAATAACAATATTATTATTATTATTATTGATATTATATATATATAATAATCATAATATTGATATAAAATAAAGTAATAGTAAATATTCAATTGGAGAATTTCTAGTATTTTAAATAAATATTAAATTTTTTTCCATTGATTTTTTATAAATCCAAATAAATTCATTTCTCACTCTCTTTCTTCCTTTTTCACTTCCTCAAATTTGGACATAAAGATTTAATTTTTCATAAGGAAGTTAGACGATAAAAGAGAATGAATAATTTACCCTCGAGTGAACCCACCATATGATTGCTTTGAAAATGTTAAGAAAAAAAGGGAGAAAGTAAATTATTATCAGTTGTATATCTACAAAAGTCTTCACCTTTTTCTTCTACCTTTCTTCCAAACAAGATGCCAAAATTTTGGAACATGCAATAAAAATATATATCATTTAGAGTAAGAATGTTATATTTGTCGATATCTATGGGTATAAAATGTTGTTATTTATATGTTACATCGAGAGAAGATGATGCGCCATGGTCTTTGTCAAATCATGTTATGCATTAGCAAATAAATTTAAACTAAATTTAGACTAAATATTTTTTTCATTATTTCTTTTAATTTTATCTTATTATTATTTTCATCGATTTAGTATTTTTTTATTAAGTGGAGAGTAATTCAAATAGATACTCCTACCCAATTTAATCTCGTCCAAAAAAAATTAATAATCTAATATAACATATATTTTAAAAAAATTATAATTTTTAGTCTAATTTAACTTTATGTCACGTCAATGAGTTAAAAGTTAATTTTAATTAAAAAATTTAAAAAATATTAACGTGTCTATATTAAATAATTAATTAAAAAATATTTAAATAAAAAATATATATTTTTTAAAATTTAAATTATATTAATAAAATTAATTTTTATTAAAAATATAATTATTTGTTATTATAATTATTTTTATTATTTTATTATTTAAAATAGTAATTAATCTTATTCATTAAATCTTAAAATAAGTTATTGATAAATATTTTCTCTCCTATTTACTCTTAAAATAAGTGATTTTTTTATCAAATTAATTTATAATACATATATATTTTTCATAAAATAATATTATTTTTATTTATATTTAAAAATAATTATTATTTTATAAAACAGGTTGATCCATAAACCTAGGATTTAGTCTTATTCAAGATCGTGACCTAAACTAATCAAGTCAAAATAAACTCAATCCAATTTAAATTACAAATTTTTTAATCTAATTTAACCTATTTATTGAATTTTTGGGATTGATACTTACAACTAAACCTATTTTAATATCCTAAATTAATCATCTTAATTCTTTCTTTTATATAAGATGAATGATATCCTAAATTAATCACCTTAATTCTTTCTTTTAAATATAGGATGAATGTGATGTAAATTTACTAACTGATATAATATTCAAATGTATATAATGTTGGACAGAATATGAATAATATATTACATCACATAAATATATTAATATCACAGTAAAATAAAAATATACTCACATTATATTTTAATTACCTTAATTACCATAGTAACAATTGCTAAATAAGATGATAAATAGAGAAAAAAGCTATTAAGGTTTCAAATTCATAAAACATTACTCTATACATTCCAAATCAACCACTGGTTGTGAAAGTGAGAGGAACGTGTCTTGAGCGTCAGCCACATGTTTTTCAATATTTTCCTCTAATATCAATCAATGAATAAGAATGGCATTGAAGGAAGTCCCACATCGCTCAGTTTTGTCACAGCGTTCCTCAATGGCAGAAGCATATCTAAACTACACAACCACAATGGACAATGAAGGTGATGAGTCATCGCAAAAGTATATTTCATTTTTGGTACGTAGAGGATCCGAATCAACCATGTTATATGAGTAAATAGGAAATATGATATATGATTATAATATACATAAACTTTGTTTCTGAAAATTATTCACTTTTGTTGTGTTTGCAGGAAAATGATGAGTGTCGTATTTTCAGTGATTTTGACATGAACTCTGTTGTAAAAGAATTGGAGGTCGATGGTCCAGTGGATCCTGCAGAATTGTCATGGAAAGAAAGCATCACTACCATTCTAAGCAATTTTTCATCTTTGGAAGTGAACGCTGGCTTCGACATGACAAGTCTCACACAACATACTTCTCCTCAGAAACCAAAGTCTTGTATTCTGTCCTTTGAGGATTCCACTTCAGTGCCAATTGATGCCAACAAAACATGCCATGAACATGCAAAGCAAACACAAGAAAAAAAGCCACACAATAGAAAACCCCTCAAGAGGAAAAGAACCCCTTCTAAGACATATGATCACATAATGGCTGAGAGAAAAAGAGAGAGAATATGACCACAATGTTCATTGCTCTTTCTGCCCTTATTCCTGGCTTGAAAAAGGTTAGATTATACCTTTGCTTCTTAATAGCATATGGATACAGTCTCCCCTACTCGAATTATTTTCTTGATCTAATTCAAAGCCAAGACATAGTACTCCATGATTTGATTTTTAAGTCACCAATTACTACAAAATCCTTTTTTTACATCAGTTATTTACATAAAGTCCAAAAATCTTTTTCATTGTACTGTTTATTAATATCAATTAAGATCACAACACAACTTAATAGTGACCATATTGCTTGATTAACAACAATTTAAAATAAACCTATATGATCTGATTCATTTCATGAAATTGTTTTTTACTGTTATGGTATTCAAAACAAACTTAGGAGACTCACGTCACAAATCATTGGTAGCTTATAAAATAACAAGTAAGTTTCACATGTGTAGATAGACAAACTTTCTGTTCTTAACAATGCTGTGGAGTATGTGAAGTATCTTCAGCAGCGTGTGAAAGAGTTGGAGCAAGTGAACAAGAAGAGGAAGATGCAATCAGAAGGATGCTTCAAACAAAGCAAAAGCAACGAGGTTGCTTATGACTCTTCATGGACCTCTCATCATCATGATGATAAAGGTATCAAGAACTGTTCGAAAGTTGAAGCTAGAGTTGCAGGAAAAGATGTACTCATCAGAGTAACGTGTGAGGTGCAAAAGAACATTGTACGAAATGTAATGGCCAAGGTTGAAGCTCATAATCTCTACATAGTTTCCAGCAATGTTTTGCCTTTCGGGAATTCCACTCTCGCCATTACCACCATTGCTAAGGTACACACTGTTCTTATAATGTCGTGTTATGAAGAGACCAACCAGGTTTCATTATTCAAACATTAAAGAATTTTCTGTCAGAAAAAGAAAAAAGCAAAAAGTGCATTTGAGAATTTAATGAAGTTTACAAAATAATAATAATAATAATAATAATAATAATAATAATAATAATAATAATAATAATAATAATCTTGGTTAACTTTTTATTCTCACCCTTTGATGTTCATAAAAAGGATCCTCTTTCTAGAGATAAAATAAACAATTTCATGGGTTGATTTTTTAACAACCTTGTTTTTAGTTGTCTTTTTTAAACTGATTCATTAAATGCAGAAGAACCTTGAAAAACAACACTCGTTATAAAATATGTTTTAGTTTTGTCTTCAAATATATATATATATATATATATATATATATATATATATATATATATATATATATATATATATATATATATGCATGAGATTACTTTTTGGTGTGCATAATTTTGGTTGTTCCAGTTTCAAATCCATGTGCTTTTCTAGATCCTTAAGTTATTTTTAAAGTTAATTAAATTATTTTATTTTAAATTTCAATAAATTTTCTTCTAACAAAATTAACCCTTAATTAATTATGTTTTATACCCCAAATCTTTGCAATTAAATCGCCTTTGCAAAACTCGCCAATAAAAAACTCAAAATTTCAATTTTTAAACCTAATCTCACTTCTCATGAGTTTTCAAAATCTATCAAGTTTCTATTAAATTCATTATTAATCATTTCATCATCATATACTTCCCATATTTAAATAAAAAAATATAATAACTTTTTTTATAAATATTAATTAAAAATACGATAATAAGAAAGTACATTCTTAATTTTATTAAACTGGTTTTATAAAATTAAATTTGGTAATTTATTATTTTTAATATTGATTAAAATTCAAAAATAAAAAATTAAGACAAGCACATAAATTTTTTTAAAGGATAAAAGTAGAACATATATAGTTTTGTTTAGAATATATATGAAAAGTTCAATTAGATCACTATATTAATTATTTTATAGGAATAATTACATGTACTATATATAGAATTATTTGATATTTTTTGTGTGTAAAAATTGCTATATCTTTCTCACCATTACATGCTTATCACACGGAACATTAAAATATCAATATATATATTTTGTCATGGACCATGATACATGATTTTTTCTATGTTGTAGATTGTTAAATATTGTTTAGATATTATTTAATATTGTTAAGATATTGTTAGATATTAACTATAATATCAAACAATATCTTCTGTTTATTCTGTTATTTTCAGTTACTCTTTTAGTTGTATCTCTCTACTATAAATAAACTACCCTATGTGTGATTTATACACAAGGGAGATTAATCTCAAACACTATTTCTTCTATATTCAACATGGTATCAGAGCTTAAGGTTATTTTGAATTTTTTTTTTCGCCTTTGACCACTATTAAAGCCGCCACCACCGCCGTTATGTTGAAATATTGGCAAGCGTACCAAATTATCAATCGCAGTATAGTATTTCGATTAAATGAAAGTCGATCCCACGAGGAACGGTTTCAATGGAAATTCTCAATTATGCTTACTAAGTAGATTAAAACAGATTAGGTTTTGCAGATAAGAGTTGAATTGAAATTAAATGACAAAGAACTGTAAATTGTTGAGAAAATATCAATTAAAGGTACTTAGGATTGATTTCCTTCCTTATCCCTCTTTTGTAATGACTAAATCAATTAAGAACGTCAATTAACCTAACAATGTTGATGCCACCTACTCAAATCATCCATGTTGATTCCTCACACATGAAATTCATAAGAAAACCTAATAAATGTTGATTCCTCACACAATTAAGAGATTTTCCAGCATTAGGGTTAGGGTGTTCAAGCACTTGATACATTCATTCCATTCCTGGCAATTAACGTAACAAATATTCTTACCGTGATCTAGGGTTCAAGATATATTTTCCAATCATACCTCAAACAATCAAGAATAAATCATTCCAATGCATAAAGAATAAGAATAACAACATCAAAGCATAAATTAATATCTCAAAATATCACCATGATACAAAAGAGTTCAAAGGAAGTGCACCGAATCCTAAGAGAATGAAGTTAGCCACTCATGTTGGCCATTACAATGCTTCAATTGATGAAGAAGAATTGATGAAGATTGGACAAAACCCTAACGATGAGTCGTGCCTCCTCCTCTCCAAGACTGCTTGCCTCTCTCAAAACACAACTTATCTTTTTATAAGAGAATTTGGTAGGGCCTCGCATCATTTATTCGCTTAAGCGCTCTTCTTTCTTTCAATTTTACTCTAATTATGCTTGACAATTATGCTCCTTCCTTTTGTATCAAGGTATTCTCGAATTCATCCTATATTGGGAGAAAAATATATTAGAATTAACATAAGTTAAGTGGTTTCATAACAATTCAAGGCATAATTATATCAACTTTTTACCACTTAACAACTCCCCCAACCTAGAATCTTGCTTGTCCCAAGCAAAGTAATTTTTCCAAAACAAAATCATCACCTATTATCTTTTTCTCTTCTAGAACCACAACATAAAAATTTTCGGAGGTGATGCTGACAACTCCAAATGAAAATAGAACACATAAGCATTCAAGTTATAGAAACCAACAAAGAATAATTAGTCCTCAACTATCCTCGGAGAAGCATGATCTCTCAAATAGAGTTATATATACTCATCTCTAATTCTCACAGGTAAGTGTTTATCTCATTCAATCACTTCATTTAGACAATCCAATATTGATAATCATCTTCAAGCAATCAACAATTGTTAAACAAGACTTAAATCAAAAGGTCTTTTAAGGCTTGTAATGGGGTCTGAGCTAAGAAAGAATTATTGGTTTTTCTGGGATATACAAAAATATTTGAGAAATTCAACTCATATGAATGATTCTTGATTAACAATTTCTCAAGTCGGGTTTCAAACTTTATGTTTTTGTCCCTAACACAATGACAATGAGTTAATAATCTCACAAGTTATTACCCCCTTTTTACTTTTTTTTTCTTTTTTTTTTGCTTTTGCATGTATCCTTTTTTTGGCTTTGCAAATTTTTAAGCTTTGTTTTTCCTTTTTCTTTACACTTTTTTTTTAACAATAACACCTCAACAATACCTGTAGGACAACAATAGCAATACCCAACAATAAGAAAAATAGTGACATTCATACTCATTTCCTTTCTCAAATATAGGAAGGTAGATAAATAGTGTTTAGGCTTAAGGGTTCTGTTTAAGAAACAATATTATTTTTTTGGCTCAGAAAGGGGTCAAATGGATGTCCTATAATTAATGCATGGTTGGCTATTTGGTTCTGGGTTATATCTACTACAAAGAAAAAATGCCTTTATCATTTTCAAGTCTTGCTAACATGTAATCACATAAAAGAATCAACCAATATCAGTTATCATCACAAAGTGTTGACACTCAATGTATCTGTTTGTGGTACTCTGCTCACTTGGGTTTTGGCTAGCTTCTCCAATTCAGTTAATTCCTAATTTTCCTCATCAATTCCTTTTCACTATCATACTCAATATCCCAAAATCACTTGTTATTGGAAACAATCAAAATTATTTTTCATGTTCTAGATTTGAATTAGACAATAAGCAATAATTTCATATATGGCTCTAAAACAAATTATGGGACAACAAGGGAATTCAAAATTTAAAATAAAGCAATTAAAAACATTAAATTAAAAACAAAGGAATTAAAAACATTAAAAGTAAAGTAAGTTTCCTCCCTCATTTTCTTCACTTGTCATGTAATCCTTATCTTGTGCCTCGACCTCAGTACTGAGACTTTCTCACCCGTCCCGTAAAAGTTGGACTGTCCCCAAGCTATTGAAGTAAGGCTTCAAAGTCTTGAGGAGAAGTGCACTGTGTACCTGGAGCAACTTTGCAAAGAAAGAACCTAAGGAAGAAAAATGCACAAAAAAAAAACTTAAACTGCAAAAAGAAAAAAAAACAAATTCAAAACATTGGGTTGCCTCCCAGGAGCGCTTGTTTAACTAACGTCTTCAGCTTGACGCCTATTTGCTTTAGGGCTCATGCAGGTGAGTGATCAAGGTGATATATACGCATTCTCCATCCCTTAACTGTCCTTGTGGGAACGAATTTATTCTTTTCATTGCGAATAACCTTACAACTGTCAGAGATTGGATAAATCATACCTGCTTCAGGAGGTTTCAGTACCTTTCTTTGAATAACTTCCTTCATAGTCAAACTAAGATGTCTTTGGGGTTGTGCAACATGCTTGTAATCTTGTTTTTCAGTTGAGATGGTTAATTCCTCCAAAGTGTCTATTCTGAGACAATCTTTCTTGTCTTTCGGTTGTTGTACAACTTCAAACAGATTAAAATTAACTTCATCATCTCCACTTCTAATTTTTAACTTGCCCATGTCAACATCTATAATTACTTTGGCAGTCTTCATAAATGGCCTTCCCAGGATCAATGAGACTTCCTCATTTTCCTCCATGTCCATAATCACAAAATCAATAGGAAATATGAATTTGTCCACTCTAACTAAAACATCTTCTGCTACTCCATAAGGAATCTTTAGAGATCTGTCAGCTAGCTGCAATGTCATTCTTGTAGGCTTTACTTCCAAGTCTCCTATTCTTTTGAGCATAGATAATGGCATGAGGTTTATACTGGCCCCTAAATCAAGCAATGATTTTTTCACTGGTAATTCACCAATTGTGACTGGTATAGTGAAACTTCCAGGGTCCTTGGACTTTTGAGGCAATGATTTTTGGAATATAGCACTGCATCCTGCCTCTAACTCTACTGTTTCATCAGTAAATCTTCTTTTCTTAGTTAAGAGCTCTTTCATGAATTTGACATACGTTGGCATTTGCTCCATAGCTTCCACAAATGATATATTAATTTGCAATTGCTTGAAAATATCCATGAATCTTGCAAACTGTCTTTCTTTATCTATTTGTGAAGGAGCCTTGGGATACGGTAACTTCTCTACAAATGGTTTTTGACTCCCTCCTTTTTCTATCTTCTCTTC